CCTGGGTGTCGGGAGCGCGGCGCTGGAGTAAATTGCAAGAAATTCCAACGCAAGGGCGCTATTCTTCAGTAAATTGCAAGCAAGTCTCCAGCGAGAGCGCGACTCCAGAGCGCAGGAGGAGCGACTCCTGCAAAAAATCGTAAGGAAATCCCAAGCGAGAGAGCGATTCTTGAATAAAATGCGAGGAAGTCTCGGGCGGGAGCGGGGGTCCTGGCTAAATTGTGAGGACGTCTCAGGCGGGAACCGTTGTTGTTGTAACCCGGGGGCCAGTGTGAGCAGGAAGATTTTCCTTGACAAAAAACAAGGTGCGAGCCCCGGGGGGGGACTTCAATTGAAAAAACAATGTGCGCCGGTGGGGGATCAACAATAATTATTCTTTAAGAATGAGAGCTCAACAACAACAACAGCAACAACAACAACAACAATCATTTTACCCGAACGCGTGGTGTTCTCCCCAGTGCCAGGGTTTTCATACGACACCAGGCAATACCCCCACTTCGTGGGGGGGCATTACAAGCTCTACCAAATATCCAAACGACTCTTCGCGACCACCCAAACCCAGCTTCCCGCCCTATGACGTTGGGACACTTCACTTCGTGGCGTGCGGACGACCGTGGCTACTACACTGGCGTGGGGTACACACCCACAGAACCCAATGGTTTTTGGAGATTTCGGCGTGCGCGCGCGAAGAAAAAACGAATGTGTCCCGCATGGTATTATTTGACAGGGATGATGGCCCTGGCAGGTGCGCAACCGTTGTCGCAGAAGTTCGAAAAAGTTGCTCGCAAAAGCCCGTTTGACAGAAATGTTTAAAAAGTGTTGGGTTTCCTACGAATCCGCAAGAGCGCGCGGGATGAGATTTTGACATTTTTTTGTTGAAAAACCATTGGTTTTTTGATGTTTTTATGTTGAAATCGCTCCGAACACTAAGCTTTTGGAAGGATTTCGTCTTGCGCGCGCGAATGTCCACTTTACCTTATTTTTTGCAAGGGATTCTTGAAATTTGATTACATTTGAACAAGAAATTTCATTTTATAGTGTTTTTTGCAAGGGAAAGCGGGGGGGAACAAAACAACCGGATCTGGATGACATCGAATTACCTGAGGCTTCCTCACGAAAATGATGAAAACGTGGCTGCGGCCTAGGCGCGGCGGGGGGGGCGTGCACCAGGGGGCCCAACAATAATTATTCTTTAGAATTAATAATGTTCAACACCAACAACAACAATAACAATCATTATAAGACTGTTCGCTCTTACTTGCCCGTGTGTAATTCAAGACGCGTTCCCCACACCCTCGATACCTGCCGTTTTTGCCTTCGATCACACCCCCTTCTGGGGGATTTTTTCTCTTTGCGGGGGGCGGCGGGCTTAGACACGCGGGCAAACCTGAACGGGCGGACAATCCTTCGTGGGCGTACATGTGCCCGCCATTGAAATTGGTGTGGGCCCTGCAAAAAGAGGAGCGGGAAAACGAGGGAGCGTAGGAGGAAGGGAGGGGGAGGGACGAAGTAAGAGGGACAACGCGAGGAGGAAAGGAGCGAAGAGGGGGGCGGTTGATTAGAGGCAGAGAGACAGAGAGAGAGAGAGACAGACAGACAGACAGACAGACAGACAGACAGATAGGCAGACAGACAGACAGAGAGACAGACAGACAGACAGACAGACAGACAGACAGACAGACAGACAGATAAGAGAGGTAGAGAAAGAAAGAGAGAAAGAGAGAGGGGAGACAGATAGATAGAGAGAGAGAGAGAGAAATACAGAAAGAGGGAGGAGGCAGGAGAGGGGAGGCAGAAGGGAGGAGGGAGAGGAGGGAGAGGGGATAGGGCAGAGAGGCATAAGGACGAAGGAAGAGAGGAGGGAGAGAAAAGGGAGGAGAGGAGGGAGGAGGGAAGAGGAGGGGGAGGAGGAGCAGGAAAGTAAGAGCGTGAACGTTCGAGGAAGTCTTAGGCGAACGCGCCGTTCCTGAAGGAACTCTCGGGCGGGAGCTCACGAGGGGCGGGCGATCCCGTGACAGGCGGGTCGGGCGGGCGGGACATTCAAGCGGGATCCCTGAGTATGGCGAGAGCGCGATTTCTAAGTAAATGGACGGCGTCTTGGCGCAGCGTGCTTCCTGAGCGTCGACAGCGCGATTTCTGAATACATTACATGGAAGTCACAGGTGAGAGCGCAGCTCCTGAATCAAATGTGAAGGGTTCTCTGGTGGGAGCGGGGGTCTTGATTAAATTGCGAGGAAGTTTTGATTCAACGCGAGGATGTCTCAAGCGGGAGCGCCGTTCCTGAGGAAACCGTGAGGAAGTTTCAGATGGGGGCGGGGGTCCTGACTAAATTGCGAGGGAGTCGCCGGCGGGAACACCGATCCTGAGGAAATTGTGAGGAAGTCTCAGGCGGGAGCGGGGGTCCTGAGTAAATTTGGAGAAAGTGTCAGGCGGGAGCCGTTGTTGTTGTAATCCAGCGGGCCAGGGCCCAGCTTGAGCAGGAATACTTTCCATGTCAAAAAGTAAAGTGTGAGGGTCGAAGGGCACACTTTGATTGAGAAGAAACAGCATGCACCAGTGAGGGGGGACCAACAATAATTATTTTCAGACATGAGAGTTCAACACCAACAACAACAGCAGCAGCAACAACAACAAAACCATGTTACCCTCATGCGTGATGTTTCCACATCAAGCATGCGGCCATCAATATAACCATCCCCATCATGGGGGACTATTGTTTTATAGCGGGGTCCTTTATTCCCATTCCCAGATCTCCCGCCCAATGAGGTCTTGCAAACACTTCTTCCGAGGAATTTGTTCAACATATCCCGCCTCGAAAACGCATGCTCGCGCCTTGCTGCGCCGATGCGAGACCGCCAGTGGATGCCCGGCCAAAGGTAAAGCACAAGGAAGTATCGAGCGACAGGATTGCATTGGTGGGGATGGGGGCTGTCGGCGGCGAGGCAAGGGCCTGGCCCTGAATAGAAAGGGAAGAAGTCTCGAGCAGGGCCGCTGTTGCTGCTGGGAGCGGCGCCAATGCTGACGAGAGTAGGGCGCTGGTCCAGCGCAAAACAAAACGAAGTCTCGAGCGAAAGCGCTGGTTTTGTTGGGACGGCGGCTGTCGGCGGCGAGGAGGAACACCGCCTCGAGTAAGAAGGGAGGAAGTCTCGAGCGGGAGCCGTGGTTTTGTCGGGCCGGGGGCTGTCGGCGGCGAGGAACCGCACCGTCCTGAGGAAAAAGGAAGCCTCGAGCGGGAGCGTTTTCTTGCCGGGAGCGGCGCCAATTCAAAAAAAGTAGGGCGCCAGTCCAGCGTAAAACGGGAGGAAGTCTCGAGCGGGAGCCGTGGTTTTGTCGGGACGGTGGTTTTCGGCGGCGAGGAGGAGCACCGCCTTGAGTAACAATGGGAGGAAGTCTCGAGCGGGAGCGTTGTTGTTGCTGGGGGCGGCGCCGATGAGAGAAAGAGTAGCGCGCCAGTCCAAGGTAAAACTGGAGGAAGTCTCGAGCGGTAGCGCTGGTTTTGTTGGGACGGCGTCTTTCGGTGGCGAGCCAGAGCAAGTAAAAAAGGAGGAAGTCTCGAGCGGGAGCGTTGTTGTTGTTGTTGTTGTTGTTGTTGTTGTTGTTGTTGTTGTTGTTGTTGTTGTTGTTGTTGTTGTTGTTGAACATTATTAATTCTAAAGAATAATTATTGTTGGGACCCCTGGTGCACGCCCCCCCTGCGCCGCCTAGGCCGCAGCTACATTTTCATCATTTTCGTGAGGAAGCCTCAGGTAATTCGATGTGATCAAGATCCGGTTGTTTTGTTCCCCCCCGCTTTCCCTTGCAAAAAACACTATAAAATGACATTTCTTGTTCTAATATAATCAAATTTCAAGAATCCCTTGCAAAAAATAAGGTAAAGTGGACATTCGCGCGCGCAAGACGAAATCCTTCCAAAAGCTTAGTGTTCGGAGCGATTTTAACATAAAAACATCAAAAAACCAATGGTTTTTCAACAAAAAAATGTCAAAATCTCATCCCGCGCGCTCTTGCGGATTCGTAGGAAAACCAACACTTTTTAAACATTTCTGTCAAACGGGCTTTTGCGAGCAACTTTTTCGAACTTCTGCGACAACGGTTGCGCACCTGCCAGGGCCATCATCCCTGTCAAATAATACCATGCGGGACACATTCGTTTTTTGCGCGCGCACGCCGAAATCTCCAAAAACCATTGGGTCCTCGAAAAACACCTGCACGTCTTCCCTTGCGAGTACGTATCATGTGTATCATGTGTATCATGTACCATATGCATCATATGCAACAGATGTTCTGTGGAAGGCTTAACAACTTCTGTGGGTTAACAAGGCTTAACAACTTCTGTGGGTGTACGAACGTAGGCTTAACAACTTCTGTGGGTGTGTACTCCACGCCAGTGTAGTAGCCACGGTCGTCCGCAGGCCACGAAGTGAAGTGTCCGAACGTCATAGGGCGGGAAGCTGGGTGTGGGTGGTGGCGAAGAGTCGTGTGGATATTTGGTAGAGCTTGCACTGCCCCCCCACAAAGTGGGGGTATTGGCTGGCGTCGCATGAAAACCCTGGCACTGGTGAGAACACTGAGCGTTCGGGTAAAGTGATTGTTGTTGTTGTTGTTGTTGTTGTTGTTGTTGTTGTTGTTGTTGTTGTTGGGGGGCTGGTTTTGGCGCCCCCCAAACCGCTTGAGCGTGAGCTTCATTTTCAGTGAACATGTAGCCGGCGCCGAGGCGAGAGCGCCAAAGAGTCTGGGGGGGTGCAAAAATAATAACGGTTTTTAGTCATTAACATTCAACAAGAACAACAACGCAACAAGCATAATCCCCACCACGGATTCTCACTTCAGCCACGCACCCAGGGACAATGAGTGACCGTTCGGCCCCCTCCCTCACTCTGAAATGTGTATGTATATATATACATATATATATATATGGATCGGAATCTACATGCACTTGCGTCTCACTACCGCTGTCCCTCCCTCTTCTCCTTTCCTTGTTGATCATTCTACAAAGTTGCGCCCTATCTCGTCCACTCCGACATTCTAATTGGACACGCTCGTTTTTGTCCTGCTGGGCTCGGCCCGGCTGCCGCGAGCTTGTAAGAATCTGATTGTCCTTGCGTTCCGAGCAAGCCGTCAGCCCGACCTCGTTGGAAGGCAATTGCGGCACTTCAGGGCGGAAACAGTACTGCGGCAATCTCCACGCTCACCCCGTCGATTCATGGATCGCTCCTCTGCTCCGTGGACATGGGGAATGAGATCCCAGGGGCCGCAGAGTCAGACTTGCGCTGTTCGCTCCTGGCTCGCCTGCACGGAGCCGATTAGCTTGGAGGCTGGTCCGAGGAATCACTCCCGTGGAGGAACAACCTGCGCCGGCTATTCGCCTGCGCGGCAGTGGGGGCCGCGGCAACTCTTATTCGGACCACGGGACGGGCCGACAAAGAAAAGCGGGCCAGGCAAGGAACAGAAACCGGCCGGGGAGCGAGGAGCCGAGGAGCGAGCAGGGGAGGGAGAGGGAGGGAGGGCGACGGGAAGGGACAGACCGGGCCGACAGACGGAGGGACGGAGGGACGGGGAGACAGGGAGGGGAAGCCAGACGGGGAGAGAGAGAGGGGGAGGGGAGAGCACACCACACAAGGGCAAGGAGGCACAAGGGGAAGGGGAAGGCACGGAGAGGGAGGGGGAAGAGGAGAGGAGCCGAGAGCCCAAGACGAGGCAAGGCAGGGCAAGGAAAGCGGGGCCCACAAGGCCAGCGGGCGGGCGGCGGGGGGGCCCCCCGGAAGCGCAGCGGGCGGTGGCGACAGTGGAGCCACCTCGCGCTGGACACCCGAGCCGGTCCCCTCCTCCGGAGGGCGCCGGGGATGCACCTCAAATGCAATTAAAACTTAGGAGGAGGAGGAAGAGGAGGAGGAGGAGGAGGAAACGAAAGCAGGGCAAAGGGAACCGATGTCTTGCTCAACTACGGCTGAAGTATGGCCCTGGCCGCATCGGCGGCGCCGGGCGCGGCCGCGGCGGCGCCCGGGGCGCGCTTCAGAACCGCCCGGGCGTTGGCCCGCCGGATGGCGACGCAGAGGCCTTCCAAGTACTCCTGCACGTGCAGGCTCGCCGCCTTGCCATCTCTGGCCTCAGCTTTGCGTGCGAGCTGCTTGAGCACCTGGAAACCTGAGGCGCCCCAACCACCGGAGCGCTCGGCGACCATCGGCACGAAGGCGATCCCTTGCTGGGCGCAGAGGGCCTCCGTGTTCAGGAAGGACCGCTTGTAGTCCTCGTAGAGCTGCGCGGCCGACCCGGCGACTTCGCTCGCCAGCTGCAGGGCGGCCTGCCGCTGGGGCGACGTGATCGCCAAGTCCACTGCTGCTGCGGACCCGCCGCGCCAAGCAGGCAAGAACACGTCCGCTGGCCGGCGCAACCCCTGGTCGGCGGCCTCGTCCGGGCGGGGTGGGAGGAGGTTGCCGCGCTCCAGATCTGGCCGGCAGCCCGCGGCTGCAGCGTAGAAGTAGGTCTGGTCCCGGGCCGCGTGGTGGGCGGCGGTCTTGTCCCCGCCACAGGTGCACACCGAGGCGTGGAACCCGTGCGCGTCCAAAACGCTATCGCACAGCGGGCAGAAGTCTTCCTCCTGGAAGATCTCCGCAGCCAGGCGGCATTGCAGCTCCGTGCGGAATTCGGCGGGCTCCATGCTAAGCTTCATGGCCTTGCTGGGCATGGCCGTCAAGAAGCCGGAGGAGCCGGGCAGGGTCTCCGAAAGCACGGCGGCCCGGACTGCAGGGCTGGCGCGCGCCAGTCGGTCGCGCAGGCTCGCCTCGTCCAGCGCGTCGGAGAGCGCCTTCTGCGGCTTCCGCGCGGCTGCGGCGTCGTCCAACAATCGGCGAGCGGTCTGCGCCGGCAGTGCGCCCTCGAGCGAGGCGACCGCGCGCTGAAGGCCTGAGCCGGCGGCCTCGGCATCCCAGCTGTAGCCGCTGTCGACCTGGGCGCAGAGGTCCTTTGTGGCAGCACGGGAGGCGAAGTACGCGGCCGCCGAGTGCCGTTGCGTGCTCCGCAGGCCCAGACCTGCGCGCCGGAGGCTAAGCGTGGCCTGTTGCCACTCGTCCGCGGTCGGCTGGAAGGCGGCGAGGTCCGCGAAAGCATCCCGAACCGAAGCGTCGAAGGCGGCCAGGGGGGCAGCCGCCGCCACGGGGTCCACGGTACGCGCTGCATAAGCCATCTTGCAGAATCCGGCACACTGTCGAAGGAGGCGGAAGCTGACCTGCGGGTCTGCCACCTCGGACACCGCCTTCGTGGTCGTACCCGCCGTGGCTGCCCTCTCGGCGAGCGCCGCGCTGCAGTGGCTCGCAGAGCCGATCGGGGCCCCGAGGAGCTCGAAGTCGCCAGACACGTTGACCCAGGGTGCTCCAGGAAGGGCCCACCGCCGCCCCCTGCCTTTTAGGATACGCCTATGTGGCCAAACGCCTGGGCATAGTTTCGGCACGCTATTGGACCATGCGTTCCCCCCAGCCGTTGTGGAAGCCCTTCGGGGAACACGTGGGGGAGGAAGAGTAGGATCAGGAGAGGGAGAACAAAAAAAAAATGAGAAGAATGATGAGGAGACCACTTGGGAGCTTCTTGGGTCATTCTTGGGGCCTCCTGGGAGCTTCCTGGGGGCCTCTTGGACCCCCGGGGCCACGGATCCGGGTGGTCCAGAGGGTCCCCGGATTCAGGGGGTCCGATTTTTGGGGGGGGGCCGGTAATAATAATATATGAGTGGGAATGCAATGCTGCATTGGCGCTTCGGACACCCTCCTGACCGATTTAGGCCCGTTGGCTGGGCCCAGCAAGGGCGCCCAAGCATTCCGGAAAACCTTCGGGACCTTATGCAGGGTCGTCCAGGGGGATCCCGGGGCGACGGATCTGGGGGGTCCTGTTTCTTTTGTTGGGGGGGGGCGTTTTTTCCTTTTTCCTGGCTCGCATGAATATGGGAAGAGGATTGGATAGATATCATTCCAGATTGGAGGTGAGGTTCCCTGGATGTGAGGTGTGATGTCCTCCGGATCCAGGATCGGTGGCCCGTGGCCTTTGCTCTTCCGTATGGTCACCCGTGTGGCTTCCTCATGGTTTGGGTTTTTGTTTGTTTTGCATGTTCGTGTTCGAGTGTATTTTCTACATGCTGTTACTCACTCTCTATAGTTGTGTCTATAGTGCTATTTGGTATTTTTAGTAGCTGCTTAGGGTCTTCTTCTGCCAAGGGTGTATTGTTTTGGACGGAGTTGGACCTCTAGGGGGCGTCCTTGCAAGGCTTGGGCCATTTGGAGCCGTCTTGGGGTTTCTTGGAGGTTGGCGGTCATGTTGAACCAACTTGGATATTGCGCCATCTTGGAGGCCATCTCAATGCATATTGGGCCATCTTGAATCCATGTTGGCCCAGAAGCCTCTCCATAATGCAAATGAAGAGCCAGATTCCTGTAACAGCCTTTGGTAGCTCAAGGGTTTGTCTTGCAGGCGAGGCGGCGTGAATTAACGCCCCCTCGGCTGGAGCTCGAAAAATCAACTCTTGGCATCTTCTTGGAGAGCTCTTGGGGCGCTCTTGGGCGCGGGCCGTCTTGGAGCCTTTATGGGCATGTGCCCTTCTTGAGGTTCTCTTGAGCGGTCATGGAGCCATGTTGAGGCCGTGGATGCCAAATGGAAGCGAGATAAACGAAGCAACTGCGTAAACATACTGTAATCAGTCGAAGGTCTGGGCGGAAATTTCGGATCGGCGCTGGACCCCCCCCGCAGCGCTTCTGGCGCCGATCCCAGAAATCCACGCAGACCTTTGAACATTTTTGCTCGTGGGGGTGCGTGCACATTAATGACTTAGCGAGGTTTGGGTTGTCGGTCTCATCGATCCTCATCGTGTCACTCAGCAGTCATCCTGGCTCCAGAGTTTCACCGCATGCAGTCTGCGGTTGGAGTCTTTCTGGCCACTCTCACTTTCATTCCTCGCGACGCGGCCGCTTGGACGTGGCGCGGCGAGCCCTCCGTTCCTCTGGCAGTTACCGAGCATGGCGGCGTGGAGGTGCTCCTGCCTTCGCCTCGCGCGGAGGTCAAGGTGAGCTGCCCCGAGTCGACGGCTGCGCCTGGGACCGTCGAGGACATCGTGAGGCGGGGGAAGGCCGAGGACTGTGTGTGCGTCGTCGATCGCCAGTCATACGAGAGGGACCCTTGCCACGAGAGGGTCGCGATGGGCCATGGGCTTCGCGCGGCCGACAGACTCGTTGACAGATGGTGGATGCTGACCCCACGTGGGGACTTTTACGATGAAGATATCTCTCTGGAGGGCGAGGAGGGCGAGAGGTTGATGGTGCTCGACCTGATCGTCTACTGCCCCGCCTCGCTCCGCGGGAAGTTCTACAGGTTCACGGCCGACGCCTACCCCTCGACGGGCCTGATTCGTCGGGAGGCCAGGGCCGCGGTCGCGCGGATGCGGGACGCTGACCAGGAGCCGACGCAGCTGACGCAGCTCGTGAGCGACCAGGGCCAGCTCGTCCCCCTGCCAGGGGTCGGCCGCCTCAGACGCCTCGGGGCCACGCCCGCCGCTGGCGTCGGTGGGCCACCCGCTACGGTGGGAAGCACGGACACTCTCCCCGTCGGCGACGGCGCGGCCGAGGGTGGGTCGGGCGCCGAGGCGCCCTCCCTGGTGGTGCTCCATGAGAGGCCCGCGCTCCGCGGCGATTGGGTATGGCTCATCACAGAGAGCACCGAGGGCGCCGACACGCTAGGCATTGAGGCCACCCTCCGAGCTGACTGCATCACTGCCACCCGCACCGACGCCCTCGCTTGCCGCCACGGCGGCTTCCTGCGCCCCCGAGGCCAGGGCCCTCCTGTTGCTGGGCCCGACGCCTTCGACGACGACGTCCGCCTGCTGCGGGTTGACTGTGGCGAGGTCGACGAGGGTTTCGAGGCCAGGAAGAAGACCGACCAGGAGAGCAGGGAGGGGCCCATCGATGGCATCGGGGTCCAGGGCCCCCCTGGGTCTCTCCCCCTCGCGTGCCACGTCGAGCGCAACGGCGGTAGTCCGAGGCGCGGGTGGGAGAAGTTCGCGCGGAGCAACGACAGCGGGAAGAACGATGGGGTCTTCCACGAGATTGTTACTCTCACGGAGAGTTCAGAGTTGTTCGGCGAGTACTACCAGCTCAACCTCGGCGCGTCGGCGTGCATCGGGGGGCTGGCGTGCCGCATGCTCGGGTTGATCGACGCATGCTCCTCGGGCGGCGCCGAGCCGACCTGGCACGTGGCGCCGTTCTACGAGGGCGAGGCCAGCTACGGCGACGCCATCGCCGTCGCCCTTCTCAAGTGGGGCGTCGGCGAGCTGAAGGATCAGAGCGGGATGGAGACCTTCTGCACTCGCCAGCCCCGCCCATCTGGTGGTGAAGACGGGGCGGGCTGTCAGGGGGGCACCGACGGCGGCCGTGGCCGCGACGGCGGCGGTGGCCGGGGCGGGCGGGGCGGCATGGCAG